TCCATAAGAATAGGAAAAATAAACAAGCATCAGCTAAGTTACATGCCCTTTCCTACAGTCACAGCATTTGCCCCCCACTACAAGCTTACCCCATGGAAAAGCAAATTAATCTCCTCTATGTTTCTGGAGCAGACACTGCTACTTTTATAACAGTACACCACATTGTTTTGCTATATGCACAAAGATTGGAGTCCCAGGGATTCGTCCTACTCCGCCATTTTAGAAGTTATCTATACTAGAATTTCTTCTGGATCAAGCTAGCACAGTAACCATTAGGATATTTAGCTTCCTAAATTGGGAATTGATATGTGTTTCCCCTTATTTAAGGGGTTCATGCCACTGCTAGTTTAATAAATAAGAGAGCAAATGAGGCACTGCATTATGTCTTCAGTATGTCATCTCAGATAGATATGCCTCTGCTTAGGGGCAGGAACAATAGCCATCTCTTTACAATACCTATCATAAGCCTAACCAGAGTCTCAGCACTACTCTAACTGAAATACAGATTGGACCTCAGGACCTCACTGATCCCGGATGAGGGATTTTGCCAGACCGGGGGGGGGGGGGGGTCATTTCTGGCCCCTACCACTGCCCCCCTTCCTGGCCCAGCCCACTGGCCACCCTGCCAGCTCCCACCTGTGGCCAGCCCCGCTGCCCTGCCAACCCAGTCGGGCAGTCACCGCTGCTGTGGCTCCCAGCCCCTCTAGACTGCCATATGCCAGACCTCTCAGCCCTGTTGGGTAGCTCCACTGCCGCACGCTGGGTGGCCTTGTTGACAGCTCATTGCGAGTAGCCTACTACCCTGCCAGACCTGCATAGCTCCCTCCACCGAGACTCTCTTATCCTGAAACATCTGTGCCAGACCACGGATGTTGCTGGACCAGAGTCCCAGCTTAAAGAGTTTCAACTTGTATTGAATCAAATTATAAATGCTTCCAAAAGCTGTTACTGTTAACCCTTGCCATAATCCTCTTTTTCCTCTGATCTCATTAAAGCAAAAACCCCATCATCAATTCCTGCCAGAATACACACCAAAACAAGAATCACACCCATTTAGAAGAGAGAATGCTAAAAGCTGAAGAGAGAAAGACAGTTTTATCTGCCCTACCCTAAGAGACAGGCTTCTTAGTATGTGCCAAAAATAGGGATGTAAGGGAATAGTTGACTACCCGATAAGCCTAGGCTTATCGGGTAGTTGAGTTGACTACTCACATTCCCCCACCTCCTGGCTGCCTCTGTATTAGAGGCAGCGGGGCTGCTTTAAGCCCAGGGCTCATGCCCTGAGCCTTAGGGTGGCTTGAAGAACCCAGCTGAGGCTGTTAGGCTAATGAGAGCCCGGCTGCCAGATATTCAGAGAAAACCAGGTGGCCAGGAGAGCCCAGCTGTCAGCTATAAAGGGAGGAGCACAGTTTGCTTGAGGGAGAGCCAGTGGAGGGTTGGATGCTGAAGAAGCCAGAGCTCCTAGGAGGGAGAGACCAGGGGGGATAGCCAACAAGGGCTGGAGAGGGCCAGCCAAGACTTCCCCTGGAGAGGGGCCAGAGACAAGATCCCGGATTTGTAGCCGGATCATGATGCCAGCTCGGCAAACAAGGTAGTTGAGACAGACAATGCTGATGATGAGCAACCCATACAGACTGTAACTTGCCCTGAGAGGGGCTAGATGAGGACAGTCAGGGGGCACTGAGGCATGGGGGGGGGCTTGCTCCCTGACAGGGGCAAAGAGGGGAGCAGGAGCTGGTGCTGGAGGAACCTAGCTTAAAAGCCCATTCCCCCCAGCACTGTGTCTGTGGTGCCACCGGCTCCCCCTTCGCTGCTGCGGGGGGAGAGGAGGAGGAAGGCAGAGGATGCTCCTGCCAAGCAGCCTCTGTCCACAGGAGTTCCAACTACCCAGTGGTCAGACAGGCAGGCAGCCTGACTTAGTCCCACCTAGCACCAGGTCTGGAACCAAACCCCGCTGCAGCTCTGCAATTTAAAATGCAGTAGGAGCTGGAGGGCACAAGCTGGGACTGAACTGGCTGCCTATTGACTAATCGAGTAGTCAAAAAAATTTCTATCGATTACTCAATTAGTAAATTAACCTCATTTTAATATCCCTACCCAGAAATTAACATAAAAGTGAACCCTAAACTCATCTGGCTACATGTTTAGAGAGGGTCCAACCTTTTGCCTTTATCTAGAGGTGAAAACACTAACAATTTATTCACTACCTCCTCTAAATCTTTCAAAACAAACATCTGTTTGAAAAAGGGCACCATTTAAAAACTTGTGGGTGTATCAGTATACGATGAATACAGGTAAAAGTAAAGTTTATTTTGATCTTATAGAAGTGCAAAAAAGGTCACCATGCCAAATGCACTATATGCTTGTGAAAACATTAAAATATATATAAGTATATCTACTGAATTGCCCCACCCCAATCCCTCTCTCCCCCCTTGAACAAAACTCTCCTTCCACACCCATTTTTAAGTGTTTGCAGCAAAAGTATGAGGCTTACAACAAGTGAAAGAGGCAGGCAATAATGAATAGTGCCATTCTCTACTTCAGCATAACCAACTTCCTGTAAAAATGCAAGCCACCTAGCCATGGGAAGAAGTGAGTGTCTCTTCCCAGAGGCCAACAGAGGGATTTTAGCCTTCCATATACATTAAACCTCAGGCTGGGATGCTTTGTTGAGATGTGGAAGCCAATTTTATTCCCCAAAGTCCTAGATGGATGGGTCTTCCAATCCCTACACCAGGGTTTGTATTTTGAGGGAATGCAGCTCTGCTTTCTGAATTTGATCTGTGCCAGGAAAGGACTCCTTTTAAAGCAATTCAATTAACAGGCAAGACTGCAATATAGTACAATTTTGGCATATTGGTAATGTATGATATGGGATTCACATTTTCATTTGCTGGAAGCTGAGCCACCGCTAGCACTTCGAAACAATTCAGTTCTATTGAGACAAAGCATTTGCAATAGTAATTTGCTGTTGTAATTGTAGCTTAAGTCTCAAGACAGTGGTGGATAGGATCATTTTTTAAAATAACTAATGGTTCTTATCAGCCTCTTGTAGCATCTTAAAGACTAAATAATTACTAGACGACTGTTTTTTAAGTTTTTTCTGTTACAAACTCACTCCACTATCCCTCTGAAGCTTATCTACTCACTGTCTTTTTCTTCTTCTTCCCCTTCAATTTTTTTTCCTTCTCCGCTGCTCCCACCTTCCCTTATTTATTCTTGGATCTGCACTTCCAACGCTCTGGTCATCTGAAGTGGGTTGTGCCCACGAAAGCTCATGTTACCATCTACATGTTTTGTTAGTCTTTACACTATTTGTTGTTTTTTAAGTTTTTCCTGTTACAGACTAACTCATCTACCCCGTGAAGCTTTTGATCTAAGTGTACAGTTAGGCTGCGTCTAGACTGGCATGATTTTGCAGAAATACCTTTAACGGAAAAGTTTTTCTGTTAAAAGTATTTCCGCAAAAGAGCATCTAGATTGGCACGGATGCTTTTGCGCAAAAGCATCTGTGCCCAGTATAGACGTGCTTTTGCGCAAGAAAGCTCCAATGGCCATTTTAGCCATCGGGCTTTCTTGTGCAAAAAATTAAGGTGCCTGTCTACACTGGCTCTCTTGTGTAAGTATTCTTGTGCAAGAGAGCTTATCGCTGAGTGGG